TTCCTGCTGCTCCTGGCCAGCCCCAGTCCTACCTTGCCAATCTCACTCTGCAGCTTGTACTGGTTCAACTGCACACAGTCCTGGGGGGAGAGGAAGCATCAGGTAAAGCTTGGTCCAGAGGCAGCATTGTTCTCACCTCGGGATCCTGTTCAGGGATCAATCCGGGCCCCAGGCCCCTTACTCCCAGACCCCAGGGGGTTTCAGCAACCTTTCAGGTTGGGGTGGGGGAGACTTGGGGTGACAAGACCACCATTAGTGACAAGAAGCCTCATGAATGGGGAGCCTGGCTAAGGAGAAGTGCACTGATTCCTGCCTGGAAGCTGAGGTCTGGGAGACCCAAGTCGGTAAGAAAGCCGTGAGTAAGCATTTCCAGAGGCGCTGGGTGTGAGGTCTAGATTGCACGAACAAGGATGAGAAGAGGGACGAGAGCCCGGAGCCCTCGCTCAGGCATAAAAGGCTCAGCCTCTGAAGGCTATAGAGTGCTCCGTACTCAGGTTCACGTCAGACCTAAGCGGCAAGGACAGAGCCAGGGGGAGCCCGGAGGCTGGCAGCATGCTGGCAGCTTCTGAGTCAGAGTAGACTGGAGGAGGCAGGATTCGAGGTGGGGTTCAAGCTGGGGAAGTCTTGGGGTGGGAGGACACTGTGTCTGTCCTCAAATCTCTAAGAGGACTTCCTGGGGGACAAGGGCGGGTTTACTTCCAAAGTCTGGACTGGGTGGGGTTGGGAATGGTGGGATGTATAGGATGCAGAGGTCGGGTCAGGTGGAGCTTCCCTGGGTGGGAAGAGGCCTTACTGTGAGGTAGTGAGCCCCCCAACTCTGAGGGTATGCAAACCAAAAGCTACAACAGGGATAGGAATAGAAAGGGTCTTCACCGAGGACTACTGAGAAGCTCATGGGCACCCCCTAGCTCTGCCCCACCAACCTCTGCATCCGAGATGGCCACGCGGTGGGACTCGATGGTGGGCCTCCGCCAGGCCCGTGGGGAGATGTGGCTGGCAGGCCCCGTGGTGTAAGGCCCAGCTTGGGCCTCCAGGCAGCTTCCTGCTGGCCGCTCCTGCAGGGACAGCTTCCTGGTGGAGAGGCTGGGTCGGGGTAGGGGGAGTCCTGAAGCACTGCCGGGGATCATGGAGGCAGCTCTGGCCCGTGGTGGGGGTTCCACACCGTTCCTGGCAGGCCCCGGGCCACCATCTGCCTCCTCCAAGCGGGCCACATCGATGGCTGCCACTCGCTCCACCAGCTCTGCCCGCGGATCCTGGCAGCAGACCGCTGGGCCCCCCTCCATTGCCACGGTCAAGGGGGTCCTCCGTGCAGCCTTATTGGGAACCTGAGAAATGAGGGCAGAAAAGGCTTCAATTCTGGCCATGGAGCAAGGAGGTCAGATTTCTAGGCCCTTCTCCCATTGTGGCCACAACCCTATGAGTCCCACCTCCATCCATGCCTCTGCCCTGCCCATTCCCTCTGCCTGGGTTGCCAGTAGCCAATCTTGGACCCGTCCCTACTAACTGGAGGATTTCCAGGAACTCATGTGGCTCTGCTGCACACCAGCCCTCTGGGCCTCAGTATTCCCATCCGTAAAACAGGCACATTCATGTCTGCCTTGCTGGCTACACAGGGAAGCAGGGGGAATCTGATGATCTGGAGTCAGAACAGACAGACACGGGCAGAACACGGGAGGCCCAGCAGCTTTGGGAGAAACAGAGTACAGGGTCAGCTGAGGCCAGCATCCAGCAGACAGCCCAGTGACTCACCAGCCTCACCCCTCGACAGTAGACAGTAGAGCATTCCAAGGCTGCTGCCTGGAAGCTGAGCTGGGCGCTGGTAATGCAGAGGCCTCCCTGGTGCTCCAGGCCCATGCACCTCCTGCACCTCCTCCTCCGGGGAGGCCTCTTTGATATTCCAGCCCCTTGCTCCCACCCCTCTCACTGCTTCCAGGAAGACTTCCCCGGGGCTCCGGCCCCTCTCCTTTCCTGCAGGGAGGCCTCTCCAGGGCCACAGGGCAAGTCTCCCATTACTCCCGTCTCTGGCCCAGCAGAGCCTGCAGCCCAGGACAGGGTCCATCAGGGCAGGGGCTGCTGCTCTGGGGGCTGTCCAGAGACTTCTTATTTTTCCGGTGTATTTGTGTGGCCACAGTGTATGCCACATCTGTTCAGGCTGAGATGCTCCCCCTGGCCTGGCCTCACACCCTCCCTGGCCCTACGGCAGTCTGAGCCCCAACCCAGGCCAGAGGCCAAGAACTCGAACCCCGAATCCACCTCCAACCTCCAGCCCTAGCCCTTACCCTTGCCCACCGTCCTGGGCTGAAGCTGGACCCCAAGATGAACGCAGACACTCAGGCTGGGGCTCCATTTCCTCCTCGGGCCAAGCACGGGCCCCACCCCAGCTCGATGCCCCACCCCCTTCCTGGGCCAAACTAGGCATCTTCTCAAGAAAAGGAAGTGAGTGACCCCTGACCCTCTGCCCTTCCTGACTGGTGGTAACTTCCTCTGACCCAGTAGAGCAACTGGAGAACACGGTCTGTTTCAGCCCCTCGTTCCCCCGTCACCTTGCTTTGACAGCTGTCAAGGAGGCAGGGCTCACTGGAGTCCTCTGGCCGCAGAAGAGCCCGGGCTGGCTTCCAGTCCCACCAGCCAAGCTCCTGTGGGGCCGTGGGCAGGCTCCTTCCTGACTCAGAGCCTCAGTCTCCCCACCTGTACTAGGGATGCAAGACCTTCCCTCCCCAGATTCCCGAGGGCCATAGCAAGGCTTGGAAAAGGATCGTGGGTGAGGGGGCATCCCCTGTGCCTGGCACCCAATGTTGGATGAGTGGAAGCTGAAAGTGGTGGAGCTGCTGTTGACATGCAGAAAGGAAGGGGGAAGGGAATCCAGACTGGTAACAGGCAAAGAGAGGAGGCTGCACCTGGAAGAGTGAGAGTGTGTGTGTCTGGTGGGGGGGAGGCCAGGGGGGAGGGGGGCATTGGTGGGGCAGGAGGCCCAGGTGTCCCTGGAGGAGATGAGAAAGGAGAAGAGCTGGCGCATCAGGGAGGCTCCCTGGAAGAGCTGAGCTGAGAAGGAACAAGTGAGTAGTTTGGAACACGAGAGGCCTCCCTGGAGGAAGTGAAAGGGGGCAGTGAATGGGGTTAAAGTACCAGGGAGGCTTGGGGAACCAGGCCCCTTGCAGGAGGGAAGAAGCCAAAGTTGAAGGGAGCCCTCCAAGCCTGGCCCACCCATCCCCCTCCTCCCGGTTGGTGGCCCACCCTGGGGCCTGCTGCCCGTCCCCCTCCCCTTACAGGCCCCTTTTCTCCCACCAGAATATAAACTCCGTACATTAAGGCTCTTGTCTGCCTTGTCTCCATAAAATCATCGGTGTCTGCAGCAGTGCCTGGCACAGAGTAGGAGCTTGGTAAATATTTGTTGAATGAATGAATGAATGGTTGCCATAGTGATCATTACAGCCCTATCCCCATTAGACTGATGGGGAAACAGCCTCAGAGAAGGGACCCCAACAAGCCTAATGCCCCAGCCCACAGTAGGGAATGAATCAGTGCCCTCTGGACCAGGGCAGGCACCACGGGACAGAGCCCCCACCCACAGAGGGTACAGGTGGCCCTAGCCCATAATATTTGCATGATTTTCCTGAGGAAGGCTGTCACCAGAGGCCATCCTGCTTTATTTCCCTTTCGCTTTTCTCAGAGGGGGAAAGTGGCCCAGCCAAGGGCCGGGATGGCCCTGGGGTCACACAGCAAGTCCGGGCAGAGCCTTCTTGCCTCTTACAGAGCCTGGGGCCTGGACCTGGTTTAGGCTCTGCACCTTCCTGGCCGCAAGCCCACGGGCAGGTGACTGCACCGTGCGCCTGGGTTTTTTTCCTCGCCGGCAGAATGGGGGGGACTGGCCTCTCGGCGCCCGGAGCCGGTGGTGGTGAGGAGTAAAGGAGTGAACGCCCATGCCGGGCTCAGAACTGGGCCTGCAGGAAGGAAGCCCCGTAAAGTGAGTTGTTGTGCTGCTGCTGTTGTGATTGCCTGGCACACGCTGTCGCCCAGATGGATGCGCGGGCGGCACAAGGCGGCTGTGAGGGGCTGACGTCAGGCCCTCCACCCTCCCTCCTGCCTGGATCCAATTCAGGTGACTAAGCACGTCTGTGCAGGAGGAGGCCCGGGAGGCCCCAGGCTCCTGCCTCGTGTCCAGGCGACAGGCCTGGCGCCCCAGACTGTGCATGTGAGGGCATATGTCCACACGCGAGACAATGTGTACAAGCAGAGCTGTGGGCCTGGGGTGACAGCCTGTGTCTGTGTGTCTGTGGGGGGAGGGGACCCCACATAGGCACACATCTGCGTGGAGACAGAAATCTATCAGTGCGGTCTACATGGGTGTGTAAGCGTGATCACGTGCACTGTGGGGCCGTGGGAACCAGAACACCAGTCAAGTTTGAACTTCCCACACCGTCACCTGTTCACCACCCTGAGGCTGCCTGCGGGGCTGGGCTGTGTGTCTTGGGCAGGCCCCAGGTCTCTCTGGGGCTCCGCTAAGGGGTCTCTCCAGGCCTGCCCCAACCTTAGGCCCTGATAGATGCTTTGTAGCAACTGACTCGGCAGATAACTAGGGACCACATGGGCAAAGAGGCAGACAGAGTGTCTGGGAGCCAGGCCCAGGTCAGAGCAAGGACTCCTCTGGGCAGGCGGGGCCTCCGGGGTCCAGCCCAGGCCTGCAGCTGAGAACGGTCAGACGCAGGCCTTCACGCACTGGGAAAAGCTACCCCAATCCTGTCCTCACAGGCTGGGGTTGTGCTATCTTAACCAGGCCGTTGAGTGTGTGAGAGCCTCAGTTTCCACATATGCGAATCAGATGGATGGCTACCATCCTGCCAACGCCCAGAGCTACAGAAGGAAGTGGATAAGGCTGGAAAACGAAGCCGTTTGTGCCCGGGCAATGTGGGGCTGGGATGTGCTGTTGTCAGGAAGCCACCAAGCAAGAGCCTGGATGTACACAGTAGGACCCCTCCAGTGTCCCCTGGCTCCGGGAAGGCCTGGCCCAGTGCCCCGCCAGGAAACGCCCCCCATCCCCAGGTGCCTGGCTATTCCCAAGGGATGCAGACTCCAGCTCCAGATCCTGCTTGGCCAAACCTTCTGCTTAGGATGAGTCCCATCCACCGGGCCCCTGAGAGAAGGCCCGGAGCAGGACAGAGCAGAGCAGGCAGCTCCTGCCCTCGTCACAGCTGGCTAAGCAGCGCCGGCTGGGCTGACTTCAGGAACAGTTCGGCCTCGGTCTGCGTCCTGGAAGGCTGTGTGGACGCCAGGGCCAGGCTGAGCAGGGGACCGGCGACGATCCAGACAGAGAGCCCAGGGCCTTGGCTGGCAGAGGACCGGCCAAAGGGAAAGTTGTGAGGAGGCGGTCAGGCCACCCGGGCCAGACACAGAAGGTGGCCCTGACATCAGAGAGGCTCCTGTGTTTATGCTCCTGACAAGTGTTTGGATGGCCCCGGCAACGGGTGCCCTTGGCGGCTCCCGATCCCCGCCTCTGCCTGGGATGACTCATTCCCCTCGAGGGAGGCCCGGGCGTCATCTGCTGCCAAGTCATGCTTGAGGATGCCTGCTGCGAGGACACCCCCTTCCACCATCCCCGGGGATGGAGGCCCCAAGCACCAAGGTGGGCTCTGCCCGATTCCGCACAGCAACCCTCAGCGCAACCTCAGTGCACTCGGCTGATGGTGTCCACACCGCACCCTTTACCAGGGCACCTCCTCCTCTGCAAACCAGGTCTGCGCCTCCAGTCCAGCTCTTCCCACCCAGCTGTCTCCTCCCCTCCATGTTCCTGGGCGGCTCCGACTCAGCAGGGCCCCGATTTAACTCAGCATGTCCCCAAGTCTGCCCTTTCTCCTCTGTTCCCATCGCAGTGATGGCACCACCACCCTCCTAGTTCTCCCAGGCCAGGACCCCAGGAGCCCTCATCACCCATCCTCTTCCTTCCGCCCAGCCTTGCTCCCCTCATCCCCACTTACTCTCCACTCTGGCCGCACCACACCACTCACGGCTTCCTGAACGGCAGACTGGGCGCTGCTGCCAGGCCTATGAACTAGCTGTGCCTTCTGCCGGGAGCACACCTCCTGCTCCTTTGTTGCCGGAGGACAACTCGGACATCTCCTCTGGGAGTCCTCCCTCCCGGACCTCCCCACTGCGGGGGGAGATCACCAAGTTGATTCTCCCAGGAAGCCCAGACTCAGCCTCCACTCTCTTTTCCAACTGCTTCGGCCACACAGGTCTCCCCACTCTAGGCTCACATCCTGACCGAACCCCATCCCATCCTCCACACCAATGACTAGAGGGGACATCTCTCTTATGCAAATACTAGTGGCCCAGTACACAAATTCGTGCACATTGAAAGGAAATTAATTAGAAGAAATATCTTAATATCGCTATTCGCCCTTTCTCTGTAATAAAGTGTCAACCAAATTCACGACTGACAATGACAGATCGAAACACATGCATGCGATTGGTGCCAGTGGGAGCTTTATGTGTATCGCACATGCGCAAGTCAACTTAGCCTTTTATAGCAGCGGTTCTCAACCTGTGGGTCACGACCCCTTTGGCGGC